AGCTAAAACTATATTAAAAACATAGTAAGAAGTATGACGAAATTATTTTGATTGAGTTTTAGCGAGCATCTTTAATCTATATTAATCATTTATATTACATTTTATGGATTATTGATATTGTATTAAGTTCTTTTAATTATAATCAAAGTTCTTTATAATGAACTCTTAATTCTAATTATTTTTATTATTATAAAAAGATTTTATTAAGAGTTTATTATATCAAGAAAATTTATTATAAAAAATTGAATAGATGAATTAAAAATAATTTAACATAACATGATTTTACTATAATAAAATTCACTATAACAAGCTTTGACTATATGTAACTTTTTGAATATCATTATATAAGAATAAATTTTGATCTAAAAATAAAATTAGTATAATAAATATAAAAAAGCCATTAAACATTAAAATTTAAATGTAACTTGTATTCAATTAAACAAAAAATAGTTATTAATTATATAATCTATTAGAAAAAAATATAATAAGCCTTTTTGATAAATTAGCAAATATTGAATTAGATATGTTTGTATTTAATAAAATATCTTAGCAATAAGTTTTTATTAAATATAAAGGTTTTACTATGTTGTAATTTTAAGTATATAGATAAATGTATTTGTGAACTTTAGAAATGTGATAATATTAATAACCAATAATCATCTAATTATTATAATATATTTTGAATTTATGATTAAGCAAATTTTCTAAATATAAAAGAAGAGTTTATGAGATTGGATTGATCAATATACTTAAGTTTGCAAATATCCTTTAATTTGAGAAATACAAGAATCAAACTTATTGTAAACAATCATATATACCTAAATTTATAATTTTTTATCTACAAATAATAATTTTCTATTACCTATTTTATAAAATCATAATAAACATTATCTAAGTTTAATTTATAAATTAGAATATTTTAGAGAAATTTACTAAATTATAATAAATACTGTTCTAGTATCACTTCAGATTTATATCATGTTAAAAATATCTTAAATATTTTTCATCAAATACATTTTTAAAGTAACACATTAAAATAATTTATCTGGAAAAATAAGTAATAAAATAATAGAAATTAAAGTTTTTGATAATTTATTATGAGATAATAGATATGATCTAGAATATATTATAATTTTATATAAGAAATAATGATTTATTAAAGTAATTATTACAAAAAAAAGTAATAAAAATAAGTAAGAAAAAAGATTCATAGATTCATAACAGTAAAAGTTAATTGTATAGCCATAGAAGTAAAATCACTTTATTTTAAAATTAATAATTTTAAGATGTAATTTTAAATCAATTTAATAAATATTGTAGAATTAAAATGATAATTTGTTAAAATATTAGTATAATTATTAGTTGAAAAAACAATATGTTAATTTTTTTTTTACTTTTCACACTACTTAAATATAAGGTTACTTTTAAATATAAATTTTTTATTTTGTCATACTACTTAAACTTTAATCAATGACTTAAACTTTTATATATTTAAACTTTTATTTTACTATTAATATTTGATTAGATTATTACTTTAATAATTTTCCTTTCAAATTTAAAAGAAATTTTACTTATATTTTAAAGTTAATTTAAATATATTGAAAATTGGTTATTAAACCAATAATAATTTTATAATAAAATTTATTGATGTTTTTTAAGTAAAATCAAAAAAAAAAATTACATTAATTAGTAACTTTTTGCATTAATTTAAGATCAAAGTTTTGAAAATTTTTTAATAAAAGTATTTTCTTTATAAAAGCTAAAATTTTTAATTTTTAATTATTTTTATATTATTAAAAAAACTTTATAAAATATATAAATTTATATTTAAAACATTTATTTATATATTTAAATATTATTTATTTATAAAAAAATCATAAATTTAAAGTTAAAAATTTTGTATATATTTAATATTTAAAAATAATAAATTTATCATAAATTTATAATATATTTTAACTAAAAATTAAAAACAAATTGTAAGTTTTTATGTAGAATTTTGCTTGAAAATCATAATTAAATTTGAATGAAAATTATTATTATTTAAGGAATAGGTATAATAAAAAGCTTGACTTCTTGAATTAGTAATACATACATGTTTTTATTTTTATTTACAATTTCTTTATAAAATAATAAGAAAATTATAATAAACTAAAATATATAATATAGTGTAGGATATCATATTAAATATGATTACAAATTTTACAAATTTTATCTACAGAATTAATTTATTAAACAATTACAAATTAATCTGCATGTACTATATAACATTGAAAATGTTTACATTATTAAGATTAGTTAATATATTGATATATTTAATAAATTTAATATGTTTAATTAATTTAATATAATTAATTTATCTAATATAATTTATTTATTTAATATAGTTAATTTGTCATTATATATATTTCAAAATATATAAATACAGTAGATTGAATTTGTGGTTGACAGAATTCAATAAGCTATATATAATTAATAATTCTCAAATCCTTTTAAGTAGTTGTATGCTTTTTACCTCATAATATTTATTTTTACTTTTCTATTTTATTATATTTATTTTTAATAAATTTATCTTTTATTTTTATAATTTTATATTATCACTTAAATGGTAATGGTTTTTATTCAAATTTAGTCATGATTTTCAATCAATTACAGTGAACTCTTGATATAACGAATTCTAGGATCTGGATATCAACTTCGTTATAAGCTTATAACGAATTTTTTAAAGAATTTAATTGGCTAGTTCACTATAGTAAAGGTAATTTTAATATATTTGATTTAAAAATTCGCTATATCAAGGGTTCACTATATCAAGATTTGACTGTATTCTGTCCGCATTATATAACCTTTTTCAAGAATTTATTTTCATATATCTGTTATTCTGGCAACGTTTTTTTATTTCTTAAATAAAGCATATATTATGTGGTCCCGTTCTTGTCGTAAATCTTGAAAAATGTTACGTGTAATGATGTAATATAATCGCCTAATAATCCTATATTACATCTTAATTGCATATATATTAGGCAAATGCATTATGAGTCAATACAAAAAAATCTATCATTTTTACCCGAGCGTTTTACTCCAGAAACCAAAAATACTTTTATATTTATAAACCAGCTTTACCTGTAACTGCATAATTTTTTCACAAGCACAAACTTATATATATAAAACCATGTTTTTACAAGCTTCTTCATCTGCTTCACCCGCCTTAATAATAGAAGAAATTTCTACCAGAATAATGTCAAATGTGGTTAAGGATTTTAATACAGGAGAACTTATCGAATATTTGGGAAGGAAAGACTTGAAACTCGATGAGGATAATATTAAAATTCTTCTCAAAGAGAAAATTGCTGGCTGTTCCTTCTTCAAATTAACAGAAGAAAAACTAGAATGTTATGGTATGAAAGGAGGACTTACAATAGTTCTTGTAGAATTCATTGAAAGTCTCAGCTAGAAGCTACGAAACTATTCCTCATTTAAAACTCTCGATAACTTGAAAGAAATGTTGCGTAGAAATAAGGTCAATGGGGAAGATATAACAAGCATTAAGCAATTTACTCCCAGTGAGTGATTATTTTTATTTTACACCCGCTCTAGAATGATTCATCATAAATATAGTAATAACCGCTTATTTTTTCTCCACAGTCTTTGAGGAGATTAATAATAATGATAAGGCTTTCGATCACTGTATGAAGGATATAATCTTAAAACTTTCAAATGTGAAACCATAACTGACGCCAACGAGGTGATGCACTGTAAATTTATTTCATTGATTCTCCATGCATCCATCGCTATAGCTAAAAAATTACCTTCCAAGATATATTTATAGTGTTTCAAAAGGACGTTATTGGTGAGAACGCAACAGGCTGAGTAGACTATGTAATCAAAAATCTAGAAGATCTTCTTTGCATCACTGAAGAAAAACCACGAAATATTAAGATTGGATATGCGCAGGTGGGTCTACTATCCACATTTTTGCTTGTTTGCATAGCAAACGATATTAATGATGGTTTATTTCTTAGAATCTGAAGCAACTTGAAAGTGCATTCCAAACGAATAAGAAAAAATGAACTGCAGATCAAGCATTTAATGAAGATTACTTTGACTATCTTTATGGCATTGTGACCATAGAGACGGAGTAGCCTTTTATAATATATACTCCAGATGGAATTTACTGTACAAGTGGTAGTGAATATCAAATTAACCTTACAAAGTTTGCCATCAAAGAAAATTCTGAATTACTTAGAAGCAACGTAAAAAAGGTAATAAGTATAATTGTTGGGCTGTTAAAGGATCGTGTTAGTGTAGATAGTTTCTCAGCTAGTAAGAGGGCTAGAATCAAAAAAATTATCAAAAAATAATATGTATCCCAGGCTAAGTCCTGAACATTTGTATTTATTTTTTCATATATAATAATAAAAAATTTTTCTTGACAAATTTCAGCGATGACCCGTCACCCAAAAACATGTGATATATTTTTTATTTTAAATGTTTATGTACAGTGTATTAATTATATATAGATTATGACATCTGAGCTTGAATTATTGAAACAGCATATTACTGAACTTGAGGCTGAGAATTCCGGTCTTAGAATCAAGCTCTCAGTGTCTGATGCTGAAATAGCTGAACTTAAGCACAGGAATATTGAGTTTCTAAGAGCGAATAAGGAATATAACGAGAGGTGTGATGTTGAAATTGTCAAACTCAGAGCCAGAATTGAGGAGATGGAATCTGAGTTTAGAGATAGAATTACAAAAGTGGAACAGAAGCAAACTCTAAATGAGCTGAAAGGCACTTCGCATAATTCTTCTAACAATAATTCATCTAACTTTAATTTGGTTGCAGATCAGGTGCTAATGGTAACACATTACGAGAAACCATTGGTGGATACTTCATTACCTGAAGACAAGGAAATGGATACTTTCTTGGATGAGGTGGATAAGAAAAAGGTTAGTAATGAGATTAGGCAACGTAATAGGAAAAGGAAGCTTTATACTGAAAGCATGGCATCTTCAGAACAAAAGGTTGTGAAGCAATCTTTTCAGAACAGTCATAAGAAAAAAAGTGTTGAGAAAATTGTCCAAGTGATAATTGATGATATTCAGGATGATGTAAAATGCCAAGAGCCAATTTCCTCTGGTTTCTCTTCGCATGAGACTGAAATTTCAGCGATGGCCTATCACCCAAAATGCTCTTCATCTCCGCTTGTTTTAGCGCACCTATTTGATAAAGCATCAGATGCCAAGTATCACACTAAGAAAGCCAATGAGGAAGAAATCTTATGCTGGGTTAACTTTGGGAAAGAATTCATATATTAGTATAATGATATCATGGAAAATAGCAATGGCAAAATCGGAGAGAAAAAAGCAAAAGGTATAATTTATGATAAGATGTTAGAATACCTTGCCACCATTCGTAAGAAGAGATCAAAAGAAATAGGTATACAGTTTCCAAAAATCTCCAGTAATTCTCTAACTAGAAGGACTCAAAGGTCTATAAAGCTTGTTAGAATATTCGAGAAAATAGGTATGGATAAAATTAAGTATCTTAGTACATATAATTCCAATTCCATTTCAGAGTTAGCTAACGATCAAATTCAAGAGATCATAGATAATTTCCCCGAGAAAGACGATTTTTCAACACCTGAAATTTCAGCCGAAGTCTTCTGTCAAAATCATGTGACCAAAAATTCCGAGACTAGCGAAAAAATCTTGCCTGAAGTAAATGCATCATAAGCGGTTTCAGCTGGGGTAAGCATATCATCAACTGCAACTATTCCTTTATCTAATAACTCTAATTCTTCAGGTGATTCCTCTAAAATCAGTCCAGTCAACTCGCCTAAAGCTGAGGTAAGTACATCAACCATATCTTCCTCTGGTCAAATTAGTAAATCTAACCAATCCAGACTTTTGATTTCTATTTTACCTGAAGATCCCAAAGAGAAACGAAAACATATCATTGGGTTGGTGTTAGAGAGTTTTCCTTCTCTATCTTTAAGCGATAGTAGTGAATGTGATGAACATGGTGAGCGATTTGATCTTAATAGTTCAACACTCTGCTCATTATGTAATGGAGATCACAAAGAAGAAAGTTTATGAAATGATATAAGAGGTAAATGGGGTGATGGTGACTATTGTGAAGAACAAACTTATTGTATCACATGCAAAGATCCTCTTAATCATGAAACCCCAATAGTATCTGTAAAAGCATAGACTTCATCATGTGGGTGGCTTAGAAATTAGTATTGCACAGTAAGTACGTCATCTTTGTACTTCTCCTGTGATTTAACTATGCCCTGTACCATTTCCGCAGTGTTTTTATTTCTAGATGTGTTATTTTCGTAATAATGGCTGATCAACAGAGTCTATTTTTGTAACAATGAAGCCAGGGCCAAGGTCTTATGAAATGTCGTCAGATATTTTGCAAATCTTTGGGATTAGATCGTGGGGTTAGATCTATAAATAATTAATCCGGTAGTGATATTCGCTTTTTTCTGGAAAATTCTGGCACGATACATATATTACGAATCTTTAAATTACATGTTACACAGATTGATCTACTGCTCTGATGTTAGAATGGGAATTGAGTATCTTGATCTACCGATTTACAGATCTCGATCTTATGAAATGTAATAAGGGACTAGAGGTACAACATCCATTCTACATAACTAGGAAACAGGGACCATTGCTAAGTCTGGAGCATATGTAATGAAAGTAACCAATAATGTATTGACTTAATTTTTGAGCGGGCAAACATCGGAATATTTTGTGTTATACGTTCTAGACAATACTAGGAAATGGAAACCGTTGTGAAGTTCGAAGTGAATATTCACCTACCCTATAACTCATCATTGTTTTATTTCTAGCACATTCCCAACATATGATTACGTCTCACCCGTGACATACACTTCCCCTAGTGTAATTATAATATGATCAGCTATTAAAATCACCTTATGGATTATATGATTTACTATGATCCTTAAGGTGATTTTTAATAGCATATACTAAGGTTGCTTGTTTAAACTACTTTTGGATTTGGCAAAACGGTAAAACCTTTAGTTTCGCTAAATTTTTACTAATTGTTTGATATAGTTTTGCCATTTTTATAAGCTTTGATATAGTTTTACCTTTTTCCAAATTTCGCAAATTTTTTAATAAGG